TTTTTAAACAAGATCACATTCAAATTCACAGGGTCACATGTTTGGGGGTCAGCATGCCACAGGTGCAGGGGAGCAAGCGTCCTAGTCAGGTGGCCCCTCTCCAGGGGACAGGAGGCCTCATGTGACCTGCCCCCCAGCAGCTGGGAAAGGACAGCGGGCAGCAGCAGCGGGGCCTCCCAGGGCTCCCAGCTCAGGGCAAACAGCTGCACTGTCCCCTATCCCCAGGGCTGCTCGCTGTGATCCGCCCCTTGCCCCACACCTGATCAGGAGGAAGATGGTGAGGGTTCTCCCCAGGCCTGCCTTCACTCGAACCCGCCACTAATGCTGCTCCAGAGTGAAGAGTCCAGGCCCGTACAGGACCCACAGGGCCCTCAGAACACGGCCCCCCAAAAAAAACCCTCCTCTGCCTGGACAGGTGAATGCCTGGAATTCCACGGGAATTCCACCGGGCCCAGCAGTGGAAACCAAGGTGGCCGAGGCTGAGCGGGTGCAGCTCTTATCTGCGCTCCGGGAGCCCCTGGGGTCCTGCCTGTGGGTCCCCTTGCAGCGCCTCACACACACATGCACTTACTCGCCAGACTCACAGACAAGTCCCTGCACGCCAGACCACACCACAGCTATGAAAACACGCCCTCCCTGTACGCAAGTGCCTGGGCTGCAACGTAGGTGGAAACACACCTGCCCACAGGGCCACCTGGGCGGGGACCCCGTGCATCCTGCGAGCTGCTTTGGGGCACGCCGGGCTGAGTTTAGATCCTGCCGTGCAGCCTCAGGCAACTCATTCACCCTCTCTATGCCTCCTTTCTTCATCTGAAAATTCAGATAATGTCTTCGTTACTTTTCTCACTGCTGAAACAAAATACCCAACACTCAAAGGAGAAGAGGTTTATTTCAGCCCAGTTTGTAGAGGTTTCAGCTCATAGTTGACTGGCTCCGAGGCAGGTAGCATGGCAGAAGGGCACCGTAGAAGAGAAACAGTCCCTGGCAGGGGAGGCAGGAGACAGCGAAGTGGCAAGCAGCGGCGGCGGCAGCAGCCTGCCTCTCCCTTTTATTCCTTTTGTGCTACCTGGCTTTTTAGTGGTGCGACCCACACCCAGGGTGGGCCTTCCCATTGTCCACATCCAGAACTATGCTAAAGCAATCTGTGGACTAATTTAGTAAGCACGCACCCTTAACCCCAGCATCACATCTGTAATCCCAGGATCACGTACCCTAGATCCAGCTAGCTCCAAAAACCCACCTATGACCACACGTGGCTTTGGGGGGACATCTAGCCACACGCCGTGACAGATAACGATAGTTCTTACCTCAAGACTCGCTGCGAAGACTGACTTGAGAGGCTCCACCCACTCACTGAGCAGATACCACCACTCAGAAGCTGACTGGTGGCCTGAACACCCAGGCACACGGGAGGCACGGAGACACAAGCCGAATGCCTGATAAAACTCACTTGCAAGCCGGGTGTGGTGGTGCAGGCCTATGATCACGAGAGAGGAAGCCTGGGAGTCCAAGCTCGACTCGGTCAACTTAGCAGCTTAGTGAGACCCTATCCCAGCGTAAAAGATTACAATAAAAAGGGCTGGGCATGTAGCTCCGTGTGAAATCCCAATACGCAAAACACAAAAACCCACAACAAGGAATCCTCCAGCCTGCACCAGTCCTGCTTCCCTTCCCCACCCTACATTTGGACAGAGGTCTTAGGGTCTGTAGACAGGCACCTCTGTCATCTCTCAGGCCGCAACATGCCGGCTCACATGGAGGCTGGCCTCTGTCAGACCACAGACTCCCAGCGTGGCCACTTCAAGAGGACATGAGGCGCAGGCCGCCGCTGCCTCTGCCTCGCTCTAGCAAAGGGGAAAAACCCCGAAGTGCAGCCCCCCTCCTCCTCCTGCGACCTCTTCCCCACGGACCCAGCTTCCAGTCTGGCCTGTGGGTTGAAAGCTTTCGCCTGTGGGAGCATGGGGCATTTCTGACCCATGACTTGGCCCTCTGATACTCAAATGCCCACGTCCTGGGCGGCCACGTCGGGGCCAGGCTTGACAGGGCGGCGGAGGAGAGACACACAGGCTATCGCAGACCAGATTCTCCCCTCCCTGAGCCTCAGTCTGCACATCTGGGAAAGAGAAGGAAAAGAGCCGCCATCGCTGGGTGCAGTGGCTCACCCTGTAATCTCAGCTCCCTGGGAGGCTGAGGCAGGAGGATTGCAAATTTGAGCCCAGTGTAGACAACATAGAGAGACCTACTTCAAAATAAAAGTTAAAAATCAAAAAGAACTGGGGATGTAGCCCCTCTGGGTTTGATTCCAGTACTGTACTGAGTGAAAGGGAATGGAGCAGCCATCTGCATCAGGCACTGGGCATGAGTGGGGTTGGACCACTGGGGACTTCTCTACCCAGGGGAGCTGAGGATGCAGCCTTCCTGGAGCCTGGCTGGTGCAGTCAGGCCACCTGGCCCAGACACAATGGGGACACCCACGCCACAAAGGAGCAGGTAGGGGCCCACGGGGAGCAGGGCTGTAGGCCCAGGCAAGCAAGCCAGGCCAGAGCGGGAGATCAAGGCCGCCTCAGAGAGAGGGTCCGATGTTTGGAGCTGCACTGCCCGTGTCCGCTGTGTCTGCACAGTGTGGGGAGGCTGAGGGGACAGGGCCCGCCACACAGATTCTGCAGTGCATTCTGTCCCGTGCTTCGAGGACTCCTTTAGTTCTTTCAGTGGTCAGCCAGACCTGGCTGTGAGAGACACTGCACAACTGTTGCCCTGAGCTGCCATGTTTTCTGCCTCCCGGTGGGCGGTATCTCGGGAGACGCCTCCAAAATGGCGCTTAAGATATTTAGGAATATTGTGCACACATTCTGGAAGGTTGAGGCGGGAGGATCACGAGCTCGAGCCCAGCTCGGGCAACTTAGCAACTTAGTGGAACCCTGTCTCACAAAATAAAAAGGGCTGGGGATGTGGCTGTACGTGAAGGCCCTGGGTACGGTCCTGAGGACCTTAAAAATAGTAATAGGTATTTAGGGTTAAAGTAAAATCGTTATGTGATAAATGACAAATATTTTTAGAGGAAATGCCTAGCCATAAATAACAGAAATAAAATTACAAAATTCAGGTACATCTGAGAAAGTAGAGGCGTCTGGGGTTTTGCCAAGCTGCCAGGGCACCCCCAGGAATCCTCTGCGTTTGCTGAGCTGCGCCCCCTCCTGGCCCGGGAGGTCTGTGTGGTTTCCGTTTGCAAGGGCTGCGCAGACAGGAACCCGCAAGGCTGGTCCCGAACCACAGCGCGTGCCCCCGCCTCCCGTTTCAGAGGAAGTAGGCTGGAAGGTCGGGACCAAGGGCAGCCTCCCTCCTCCTGCTCCCTCCTCTGGCACAGAGCTGAGTCACTCAAGCGCCGGGCATTCACCCCAAAGACAGCCGAGGTGGTGGGGCTCTGAGGTGGGGCTGGGCTGAGCCCGTGGTCATTGCTGTTGGGAGCCATTTCCTGGAGCAGGGCCCTGCAGCTGCCCCCAGGCCTGAGCCTTTCGCTTCCTTGTGAACATATCTTGAATAGGTTTCCGGTGCTGGCAGAGGACAAACGTCATCTCACTCACCCCCACATACCTTAGAGGAAGGAGCCACATCATCACACTTCGCCATGTGACCCGTAAGTAAACAAGCACAGGGAGGCCAAGTGACGGGGCCAAAGTGGCACAGCACAGGGCCTGAGCTCTGGAGGGCCACTCTGCTGCCCCTCTGAGGAAAAGCCAGAAAGCTGGGGGAGGGGGAGGAAGCCACGCTGTGCCACCCCACGAGCGTCCTCCCCTTCCTTCCCTCCTCTACTCCCCACGTTCCCTGCACCCAGAGGGCATCACCTCCCACCAGGCACCCCAATACTCCCCAAGCCACCCCAAGCCTGACAGCCTGTCCCCTTCTGTTACATCTCTGGCCTCAGCCCCTTTGTCCCCAGCACCTCCCCTTAACACAGCTGAGTGACCTGAGGTCACTTGACTGCTCTGTGCCTTAGTCTCTCTGTCTGTAAAATGGCCCATCTCACACAGTCGCCATGGAGCTGAAGTGAGATTTTATGAGTGCACAGACTTATGTGTTCATAGATGCATAGACAGAAGCAGATCTGAGCTTACCACAGTCTCTGGCACAAAATGTTCAACAACTTCTGTTGTTGCGGTTTGATTTTATCAGTATATGTTTGCAAAACAAAAATAATGACATTGGTTGTGAGGAACTAGTACACATATATATCTTTTTGTTTGTTTTGACATAGGGTTTCACTATGTAGCCTAGGCTGGCTTTATTTATTTATTTTTTTTGGTATCAGGACTTGAACTCAGGACCTTGCACTTGCCAGGCAGGCACTTGTGCCACTGAGCTATATCCCCAGCCCTGTGTATACTTTAAATGGGTGAATTATACTGCATGCAAATTATGTCTTGATCAAGTTAGTTAAAATAAAAGAAAAAGGAAAGAAAGGAAAAAAGATTCCAAGGCTCTAGCTGAACAAGGCCATTTTCAGGATATTTTTATACAATCACCCCAGTGGCTGGGTGTGGTGGTGACACACTTATATAATCCTGGCACTTGGACTGCTCAGACAGGAAGATCGATGCAAGTTGCAGGCCAGCCTGGGGTAATGGTGCGCTACATAGCCAGACCCTGTCTCAAAAAGTAATTAATTAACTAATTAATTAATTTACCCCCATGGCCTCCAGGGGGCAGTGCTGGGCTGAGAAAAACTAGGCTCTGGTGTGTCTATGTTTATGTGTGTGTCTCTGTATGTGTGTATGTTAACCAACTTGCAGAGTTGTAGAGGGTTCAGCGTGTGATCGATTTGCTCTGTTGCTGCAGACCTATGGTAGCACAGTACATCACGGCAGAGCAAAACTCACCTGGTGGGCAGGAAGTCAGTCCCACAGTCCCCAGGAGGTTACATCCCCAGTGGCTCAAGGACCTTCCTCCACCTCCCACAGTGCCAAGCTGGGACCAAGCCTCTAACACAGGTAGCCTGGTCAGCAGCTCTACTCAGCTACAAACCTCTGCCCTCATGTCAACTCCAATTGTCAAAAGTCCCAGGGAAGGCTGCTGATTGGCCCATCTTGGATCACTCCTGTGCACTTCTGAGCCAATCACTGTGTCCTAAAGGAGTAGCATGGGAAGAACATATCCCAAAGAAGGGACCTGCTTGTGGGCAGTTACTGTGAGCTGCGAAGCCACCCTAGTCTGGAGGAAGTACCTAGTACTATACAGCGTGAACTGCTCACCTCATCTATTTCCTCCTCTATAAAGTAGCGATGATAACAGAACCTGACTCAGTCCGATGAGCCGTAGGCACAGAACACCTAGCACGGCACCTGGCAGTACTAGGATCGTGGAGCAGCAGTTACTGTTATTGCTGCCGATTTCCCCATCATGAAGGCACCTCCAGAAGGTGGGTATCATTAGTATCCCCACCCTACAGGGAGGGAGAAAGTGCTGTGAGGAGTTTTACAGAGGTCTTACTTTTTGGAAAGGAAGACTCATCAGACATAACTTTCTGGAAGCTATCTCCCTGGGCGATGCAGATCAGGCCTGAACACCCTGGAGAGCCAGTGGGGCCCAGCGACGGGCTTGTCTGGAGCTTCCCGGCAGCCTAATTGACATCCAGGGCTGGATAACTGTGAGATGGTTAGCAGCGTCCCTGGCCTCCACTCCTTCCAAAATCCAGATGCCAGACAAACAGACTGTCTGCAGACATTGCCAAACGTCCTTGGGCACACAACAGCCCTGGGCTGAGAATCCACAGTCTCATGAGACCCGGCCAGGTTACAGGTGGGAAACCGGAGCGCCAGAGAGGCCGAGGAGTCACGAGCGTCTGCTAAGTGGGCCCCTCCTCTTCTCACTGGTGCCAGACCAAGCCCTTTGCAGTTATCGCTGTGAATTCTCGTCTCCACCCCGAGGCAGGTGCCACCGCCTTCCCTTTGGATGTGCAGAACTGGCAGCTCAGAGGGGTGCAGTGACTCACTGTAGGGCACACAGCAGGCACACGGACATCAAAGCCAGGAGCCCTGGGCCCCCGCGGCCCCTCTGTTGGCTGGGGAAGAACAGAACGGAAGGGGCTCCTGTAAACAGGAGACAGCGCTGGCGGATGCAAGGATGACATCATGTCCTCAGGTCTGTGGTCAACTGCAGGCAACCTTGCGTTTCCGCAGGGATCTGCCCGGCTCCTTCCCGTCCTACAAACTGTCGGGCGCCGGCAGCATGGAAGGCGCCCAGGCTAATGGGCCATCTTCGGCCTGTGTCATTGCATGCCTCAGTGAGCGAGGAGCCTGGGCACATATGTGACCAGCTGTCATAGCACAGTTGTAGGCATCGGGGTGGACACTGGCTTGGGTCCCACAGCTGGAGAGACTGAGGCCCAGAGAGGTAGAGCCCCTCCCTGACGGCTGCACAGGAGTGAGCTGGAGCAGAGCGGGGAGGCTGGGCTCACTGCTTTCCTCTCCTCTCCCTTCCCCCATCCCCTCCCCTCCTCCCCTCCCCTTCCCTTTCTTTTTGTTTCCTTTCCTTCCTTCCTTCCTCCCTTTCTTTTCTTTTTCTTCTTTTCTTTGAGACAGGACCTCATTATGTTTTTTGTTTTTTAATCTTTTTTTTTGAGACAGGGTCTCCCTATGCAGTTCAGGCTGGCCTTGAACTCACTTTGTAGCCCAGGTTGGTCTAGCACTCAAAAGGATCCTCCTGCCTCAGCCTCCCGATTGCTGGGATTACAGGCGTGTGCCACCATGCCCAGTGAGACAAGACCTCCTTATGTTCCAGGCTGGGCTTGAACTCACTATCCTCCTGCCTCAGTTGCCCAGAGTGCGAGGATTATAGATGTGCACCATGATGCCGGCTCCTATTTGGTCTTGAGACAGGGTCTCATTAAATTGCCCAGAATGACCTTGAACTTGTGATTCTCCTGCCTCAGCCTCCTGAGTAGCTGAGATTATAGGTGTGTGCCAGCACACCCAGCATTGTTTTTCTTTATTGAACAGCGTTTCTAAGATATAAGTCCTGTACCACAGAATTCACTCACTTAAGTGGCTCTTAGCATATTTATAGATCTGTAGAGTCATCCCCAGAATCAATTTCAGCACATCGTCATCACCTCTGGAAATCCCCCCTTCCCCAATCTTGCAGCTCCTGGCAACCACACGGCCCCTTTGTCTCTGTGGCCTTGCCTGTTCCCATGGCCTCATGTGATAGGTGGTCCTGGTGGCTGCCTTCTGTCACTCAGAGCGGAGTCTTCAAGGATCTTCCCTGCTGCAGCACTGGCTGGTGTTCCATCTTTATCACTGCCACGTAATACTCCTGTTCACACAGCTGTGGTTTCTTTTGTCCTCATCCACTGATGGACGTTTCTGTTCTTTCTGCTTGCGTGTTTTCCTTCTCACTCCTGCTGGCTGGGAACATCTGGGTGCAGGCTTGGATGCTTGACATGTTGGGAAATCACATAGCCTGCTGGGTAGAAAATGTTCCCATTTACAGTCAGGGAGACTGAGGCTCCTCGGAGTCCAGGGATTCCACAGCAGATTCAGACCAGATCTATTCCTAGAGGTCTCAAACTTGCAGCCTGGGAGCTGATGTGGAAATCACCATGTCTGGTTTGGCTTGAGAAGTGTTTTATATAGTTTGTGAAATAGCTGCCTGCATAGGAAACTTGGGAGCTTTCCTGTTTACAAAAAACCAGACTTCCCGGTTCTGCAGAACAACAACTGCCAGGTCTGGCCACCGAGGGCTGACCTTTTCCCTTACCAGGAGCTTGGAGACAGTAGCCAAGGACAATATCCCCTTCAGGCAGGCCTGTGCTCCCCACGGTCCTCAGCTCCCCAGGACCCACCTGGTTGGTGAGGGTGATCGGCCGTCCTGCTTGCCCTTAGCAGGGCTGCCTAAGTTTAAAACTGAGAAGTCAGAGAGGCGTGGTGGCACATGCCTGTAATCCTAGCACTCTAGAGGCTGAGGCAGGAGGATTGTTGCAAGTTTGAGACCAGCCTGGGCTACAAAGTGAGCTCAAGGCCAGCCAGAACTGCATAGCGAGACCCTGTCTCAAAAAGACAAACAAAACAAAACAAAACAAAATAAAACTGAAAAGTCATAGCTGCTCGAGATAACTAATCCCAGCGCTCGGGGAGGCTGAGGCAGGAGGATCACAAGTTTGAGCCCAGCCTGGGAGCCATTTAGTGATTTAGCAAGACTCTTGTCTCAGAATAAAAAATTTTAAAAAGGGCTGAGAAAACCCTTTTTAAATTTTTAGCTTAGTGTGAAGACTCTGGGTTCAGTCCCCAAAGAAGATGGGGGAGGAGGAGGAGGAGAAGAAGGAAAAGGAAAAGGAAAAGGAATGGAGGAGAAGCAGGGAGGAGAGGGAGGAGGAGGAGGAAAGAGAAAAACACACCCAGGAAACTCCCTTCCCCCAGGACAGGTGGTCACCCTCTTGTCCCAAAGCCTCCTACCTGCCATCCCGCCAGCTCTCGCTCCCTCCCGCAGTACCTGACACTGAACATCGAGTTTCCCGGATGGGGCCAGCCTTTGTCAAGGGCCCTGTGGGCTCAGCTTGGCCCTCTAATCGTTTCTCACTCTGCCCACATTCTCCAGGGTCAGTGGGCCCCAGAGGCCAACCCCAGTACTCTGGCGAGAGAACGATAAAGTCAGGGTTGTTCATGACCTTGGGTTTATTCCAGTTCAGGCTCAGCCTTTATTCCCGGGGGAGGCCTGCCCCATGTTCCCAACCCGTGCATGAAAGAGTGGGACAGGAAATGGTGGCTTGGTGATTAAAATGAAAAGCTAGCCATCTCGTGTGCAACTTCCCCTCTTTAAAATGAACTTTGACTTTTATAAGAGTTTTAGATTTTCAGAAAGATCGGGAAAACAGTAGAGGGCTCCCATATATTGTTATCGTTTCTCCTCTTAGCACCATCTCCCACCAGTGTCATGCAGTTGTTTTCAATAATGAGCGACACTGGTACTGCCGGGGCATACAAAAGGACACCCCAAAGTGCGGCGTGTGGCACGCGTGGACTCTGAACTGGGGGACACGGGAAGGGCAGCAGAAACACTGGCTCCCTGACCTCCTCCTACTTCCTTCCCCCCAAGGCAGCCAGAGAAACTAGGATTCCTCTTCCCTGGGCCATGTCACAGAAACCTGGCCCCTCTCCCCAAAGACACGGTACCTGCAACTGTCCCTCCAGCCTTGCCCGCCTCCTGTGTGGGAGCCGGCCCTGGAGGAACGCGGCAGCCACCTGTCTGACAGCAGATCTTAAGACCCTGGCTCCAGAGGCCCTGAGCCCACCAGAAGGAGTGCGTGTGACCCAGAGGGCCAGGAGGAACCTGGGCACACAGCTCCTGGGTCTCCTTTTCTGCTCCTAACAGCTCACACCTGGGGTCGAATCACATTTCCACACAGCTCTCCATGTCCTGTTGGATCTGAGCGTTGAAATAGATAATTTCCCTGGGGCCTCTGGGTCGCATTTAGGAGGCCTCCTGCATTTCCTAAGACTCTGGTTCCGTAAATCTGTTCTTTTTTGTTCGGGTTTTTTTTTTTGTCTTTCTGAGACAGGGTCTCGCTATGCAGTTCAGGCTGGCCTTGAGCTCACTTTTAGCCCAGGCTGGTCACCTTGACGGTTCAGAGGACGGGTCCTGGGGGAGGGGTTACAGCGTGTCCCTCCGTGTGGATTTGCTGTGTGTCCCCCGAGCTAGGACTGGGCTAATGCGTTCTGAGGAAGCCCTCAGAGCACAGCGTCCTCCTGCCCGCTCTCCTCCAGTGCACATGATCTGCCTGTGACTCACTGCTGCGGCACTGACCTTGATCGTCTGGCTGAGCAGGTGAATTGCTTGGAAATCTGCTCCAGAGATTCACCCAATTTTTAAAGAATCACTGAAGCTCTAAGTTCTCACTGTCCTGGTTGCAGACTCCACTGGGCAAGTGGGACCCGCCAGAGTTCCAAGCCTGGGTGGCGTTTGCATTGCACAAGAGAAGCTGCTTTGTCACGGGTTTCGCCTTCTCACGGCGCAGAGGAGGCTCTCTGCGGTGAAGGGACAAGCGCCAGGTCACACGGTGCGCCTGCAGCTGTCGGGCTTGAACCACCTGCTCCCCCTCGCGCCCCGCCCCGCCCCGCCAGCCGCATGCTGTACAGCCTGAAGCAAGCCCCCACACAGGCAGGGAGGAAATGCCACCAGCCTGGACCTCCTCTTGCTCCATGGGCCGCCATCGACCCTGGAGACACAGATTTCCGAGAGTCCCCTGGCTGCTCCGGAATCTCCGGAGAGAAAAACTAAGAGGTCCGGAGAGGCTGCAGAATACTCGATCTGAAGGGCGCCCCTGGATGCCACCCGCTCCCCTCGGCTTTCTCCAGTGGCTCGGCGGGCGCCCACGCAGGAGGAAGCCCGTGTTACCCTCGGCACCTGACCAGCTCCTGAGGGGGAATCTGGGGTCCTGGATGGCGGCTTCTGACCTCCCCGATCTCCCTGCTCCTCAGACCAGGGGAACTCGGGTTCCCAGGCTCCACAGAGGTGCTAGATCTCCCTGGGAGAAGCCTTTCTGGCTCTCTGGGCTGGGTAGTCTTCCTCTGTAAAGTGGGGGTAAGGGCTGTCTCCTCCAGGAGGCTCAGGCTCCTGTGTCCAGCGTCCCGATGGTGGGGTCTCAGCTGGTCACCGCCCCTTGCCCTCCCCCTGCAGCAGTGGCGCCCCCTGCTGGCAGGGTGCCTCTTGGCACGCTCTGCGGTGCGGCCTTTGCTCTCTGCCTCCCCCTGCAGGCCATCTTGCCAAGGGCGGCTTAGAGAAAAGCCACCAAGAGGGAGGTCAGGTTCAGGGCTCTACTCTCCAGCCCTCTAGGATGGGGCAGAACCGGGCCTTCAGCCCCATTGCCAACCTCAATTCCAAACGCAACTCCTGCCACTAAGAGAGCTGCAGCAGTCTTATGGAAACTTTCAAAATCTACCCCAACGCTTTGTCCTTTGTAAAATGTGAAATGCCAAAAAATTTTTTAAAGCTAGACCTGAATTGGTGGGGGAGGGGCGTAAAATCCTTGGGTAAAATAACGGTGCATTTTTTTTTCTTTTTGTCTTTTTGAGACAGGGTCTCGCATTGCAGTTCAGGCTGGCCTTGAGCTCACTTTGTAGCCCAGGCTGGTAAGGTGCACTTTTGAATGGCCTGGCTCAGTAAATCACCACAAAGAAAACACGCTCCCGAAATTCCCAGGGCAGAGCAGAAAGCCCCACGGTGTCTGCCCCTAGTCTCTCTGCCTTTCCTCTGCCCTGCATAGAGGTGCAGCTCCTATCTTCTCACGTTCTCTGCTCTCCAAAAGTCATTCATGGGGGCCCCATATAGAGTCCTGGAATGCAAAACAAAAACAAAAAAGCAAGTAAGTAGAGTCCTGGCAGCATTATCCAAACCCCTTCTCCGGCTTGGCCCTGCCCCTCCCCGCTGGCCCTGCGCCTGTCTCTCTAACCCCGCAAGAAACTCCGCAGGCTGCCCCCATCCTCTGCCTCTCCCAGGCTCTCCTTGTCGGCTCTCATGCCCACAAGAGAAATCCTTCTCTCCCCGTTCTGGAGACCGGAAGCTCTGAGCCAGGGTATGGCAGGCCCTGCCCTCCCTGAGGGCTCGGGGGAGAATCCTTCCCTTCCTGCTCCTGGCTTCTGCTGGCTGCCCGCCAACCTTGCACTCGCGGGCTGGTGGCCGCATCACTGCAGCCTTTGCCTGCAGCATCACGGTCTTCTCCCTGTGTGTGTTGTCAAATGTTGCCTTTCCTCTGTGGGTCTGTTTTCTGTTCTTATCAGGACCCCTGTCAGTGGAGTAGGGGCTTAATCCTACATTTAAGTTGCCTTCATCCTAACTTTTTTTTTTTTTTTTTTTTTTTTTTTTACCAGGAACCGAACTCATGACCTTGCGCTTGCCAGGCAGGCGCTTTGCCGCTGAGCTAAATCCCCAGCCCCGCCTTCATCCTAACTTGATTGCTGATTTTCCATAGAAGGTCTCGGTCTGAGCTTCTGGGTGGTCTTGAGTTTTGGGGAGGTCCCGTCCAACCCTGGAGCTCCCTTGATCACTTTGCTATGCAGATGGAGGTAGATCCTCCCAGGAAAATCAGCCTTCCTCTTCCAGAAGGGGTGGGAGGGGGACTTGGCTGCCGACTCCAGGGTTCTTTACAATACTCAGTCACACAGGAAGGTGCCCATCTCCGTGCCAGGCAAGACTCCCTGCTCCCCCCTGGCATCAGAAGGACAAGTGACAGAGAAGCACTCAAGCTGGCCTGCCACTCAGTGCTACCAACGACAATGAGGTGACCAGGCCTTTGGGGACCTTGGTCCGAACTCCATGATCATCACCAGAAGAAATGAAGGCTCAGAGGGGGACAGAGATCTGCTGAGGCCACACAAGATGACAGGCCCGGGATAGATCTGCAAGTTGCAGGGTCTCTGTGTATCTCCAGAGCATTTACACACTCATGCACATAAACGGTCACACTCACTCACATACACACACACACTCACACGCACACGCACACCTAGCTCCTGGCCGCGCTCTCCCTCACCTACCCACACTTTCCTGACACTTGCTAAACTCATTTCCTTCCGGGGTCAGAAAGGAAATGGAATCAGAATTTCCACTCCTGTGAACTGCTCCTGCTGTATTAATTTCCTGTGGCAGCTGTAACAAGCGATGGGAAACTCGGTGGCTTTTCTTTTGCTGTTGCTTTTGGCAGTACCAGGGGTCTGGTACTGCAGCAGAACTCTTTTGGCAGAACTCTGGACCTTGTGCGTGCAAGGCAAGTACCCTCTCGCCAAGTTACACCCTAGCCTTCACTGCGTAAAACAGCACTCATTATCGTCAAGAAATCAACCAGTAACAAATGCTGGTGGGGCTGTGGGGAAAAAGGACCCCTTCTCCACTGTTGGTGGGAGTGTAGACTGGTGCAACCATGGTGGAAATCAGTGTGGAGATTCCTCAGTAAACTAGGCTTAGAGGTCCCTTTCAATCCTATTTCCCCTTTGGGTATTTTTCCAGAAGAACTGAAAACATCATACCACAGCAACTTATGTGCACCCATGTTTATCACAGCACAATTTGTCATAGCTAAATCATGGAAACAACTCAAATGCCCATCAACTGAGGAATGGATAAAAAAGATGTGGTATTTTTATATAATGGAATATTACTCAGCTATAAAGAAAGATAAACTCGAGGCTTTTATAGGTAAATGGATGCAACTAGAGACCATACTCATAAGTGAAAAAAATCAGGCTCGCATGTGTAAACATCGTATTGTCTCCCTAGTGTAAGAATCTGAAAGAGTAAACAAAATCTGAAAGGTGCAATAGATATTGTGAAAGGGAAAGAAACTGCTCAAAAGGAAAAAAATGACTGGGATGAGCGAAAGAGAAAAGAAAGAAGGAAGGGAAAAATTATGTGTATATATGTACACAAGATCGCTAAGGTAATTGTACTACTAATTTCTATCGGTTTATTGAAAGGATTAGTTAATGTGTAATTGTTTGATCAATCTTTATGCCTATAGCTGGTTATCTGAGTAACCAATTTTAAGATAACAATATGTAACACAACAACCATTGTTAATTTCCTACCCCCTTGTTTGAAATGCTGTATCATTTTTATTGTTTTTGTGTTGTTTTATGTCTTTGTATTTGTAAATTTGTTTGTGTTCTTTTCTTTAAAAAAAAAAAAAAGCACTCATTTATTCTCTTTTTTTTTCCCCGTACCGAGAATCGAACTCACAACCTCACGCTTGCCAGGCAGGCACTGTGCCGCTGAGCTAAATCCCCAGCCCCGGCACTCATTTATTCTTGTGTGGTCTCCAGAAGTCCAAGGTGATTCTTATGGAGCTTAATGCATGGCGTCAGGAGGGCAGGCTCCTCTGGGGGCACTGAGGAGAACCCACTCCAGGAGTCCTCCAGCTCCCAGAGGCTGGGCCTTCCTGGGTCTTTCCGGACCTTTCCTGGCTCTCGGGCTCCTTCCCTGGCTCAGGAGTCTCTTCTGCTGTCGCGTCAGCTTCTGTGTCCTCAAACCTCGCACTGCCTCCCTCTTGCGCACCTCTGTGACTAAACTGAATCCACCTGAATAACACAGGATAAGCGTAATCTCTTATGTCAAGATCCTAATCACATCTGCAGTCATTTTGGCCATGGAAAATAACAACTTCAGGTTCCAGGCATGAGGACATGGACCTCCGGGGGCCCATTGCAGAACGCCATTCGCCCCCCGCCATTCGGCCCTCGCTCCTACAATAATGCCGGTGCGCATCAGCACAGATTGTGTGCGGATTGCAAGGGAAGCTTCTTATTTCCCCCAGAAGCCAGGACACCGAGGCTCCAAGAGAAGTGACTTGTCCAAGGTCACACGGCCAGGACATGGAAGCAGAGCCAGTAACCAAACTCCAGGAAGTCTGCCTGACCCAAACCAAGCCTTGACGCTGCCCCATGCTGCCCTGTCAAGGACTGGCATTTCCAAGTGCTCCATCCATGCCAGCTGCCTGTTTTGCACATCAGCCCTGTGTCCGCTGGGGACCTCCAGAGAAACAGAAGCAGGTGGATTTCATGTGGGAACTGGATCACACTTGCACAGAGGCCGAGAAGTCCTGTGGCCTGCTGTCTGCACCCTGGAGACTGAGGTGAGCTGGTGTGTGATTCATCAGAGCCCAGAGGCCTGTGAACCAGGGAGGAGTGCGGGCTGCCGCTGAAAGTCCCAGAACCCGGAGCCCAAGAGTCTAGAGCCCTGATGTCCAGGGCAGGGGAAGAGGGATGGCCCTGCTCCAGAAGAGCAGGTTTGCACTCCAGATGGGGCCCTCAGTGGACTGGACGATGCCCACCACATCAAGGGACATCTTCACTCAGTCCCCTGACTGAAATGCTAATCTCTCCCAGAAACGGCCTGCAGATACCAGAAATGGTGTTTCACCAGCAATCTGGGGAGCCCTAGCCCAGTCAGGCACTGGGATCCTAACCCTGTAAGTCACAAGCAGTCCTACAAGGCAGGCTGCTCTGACAGATGCGGAAACGGAGACCTACAGAGGCAGTCATTTGCCCATGGCCACACCGCCTGGCTTCATGTCAAAGCCCATGGGCTATTTAGGGATTATCTGGTGACAGGATGTGAGAAAGGCTGGTCAAGGACACGCCATGTCCAAGGCCATCAGCTGGGAGGTCCCAGCATGGACCTCAAGGCCTGTGTTTTTGCTGTCTCCATCTCTGCCCTTGCCCCACCCCGTACCTCACACAGCCCAAGGCTGTTCCTACAGATGGAGCTCGGGCGTTACCTCTGACAGTCCCCAGCCCTCCTGTCTGCCCCACAGGGTCCTTCAGTGTCAGGCCAGCTGTGGGCCTCTTCTTCCACAGCTGCCCCTCCTTTACCGCAGCCTTGGGGACCCAGTGTGGCCCAGCTGTGGCCACTGGGCCCAGCGCCTTCCCGAGGCAGGGATTCGTAGCAGTCTCCACACATAATCCGGGCACTGGGTCTGGCCCCTCTCGCCAGCAGCTGGGTGAGATGCTTGTGGCCCCTGCTGCTCATAGGCACCTCTCCCTCCAGTGACAGGGCTAAGAAAGCCCCCTCTGCCCAGGAAAGAGGAATGTGGAGCCTTATTTTCCTTCCAGCCACCAATAGCTGACCTCTTCTGAAGACTTACTGTGTGTCAGCCCTTCTGCCAAGCACTTTCACAGCCTCTGCTAATTTATTTATTGAGCTACTAGGAAGTGGACCCTGGCCTTTGCATATGCTAGGCAAGCACTATCCCAACGAGCTATGTCCACAGCCCCTGCACTAATTTAATCTTAAGAACCAAGCCTCCATGAGGTTGGCTCTGTTATGAGCCCACTTTTCTTTATTTTTTGGTACCAGGAATCGAACTCAGGTCCTTGCACTTGCTGGGCAGGCGCTTGTGCCGCTGAGCTATAACCCCAGCCTTCATGACCCCCACTTTCTAGACAGGGAGATGGAGGCTCAGAGATCTGCTGGGAGCTGGCCGTGGTCTTAGGTCTGTGACTTACAGGTTTAGGATCCCAGTGCTGGCTGCGGAATGCATTCCCCTGTCAGCTCGCACCCACAAGGTGCATGGAGGGCAGGAGGAAATGAGGCCTGAGAGTGGGCAGGGTCCTAGCTCAGAGCAGGGCATTCAGTGGGAGCTTGGAGGTGGGTAGGATGGTAGTGGGTAAGGAGGGGATAGGAGCCTGGGCTTGGAGAAGGTGGGAGAGATTCGCACGCACACACACACACACACACACAGGTGTGCATGACATTGCACCCATGTGGATGACAGCCTTTGTCAGTGGTGTGCTCTGTGTATGTGCACGTGGGTGTGTACTGCCAGAAACAATCACGACAGCTTTGGAAATGGCCAAACAGGATCCCCACGTGTGTTGCCGGTGTATCCTTCCCAATTGTCTAGGTCTCCGTCAACATCAAGCTACTTTACAACACTGTAGGAGGTAGAAAACTGGTTGTAAATCAGATGATTCTAATCCACACAAATGCAAATGAGTGCATGTGCAGAGACAGCATTGATCATTGCCCCACGGATACAAAGCAGTTGTACACCTCTGTGTAAATGTAGCCCAGCATCCCCGTGCTCTTCAAGTGTCCTCTGTATTGGCGGCAACAGCTTATTAGTTCCCCCATTCATTAATGCGCTAAACTCTGTGACTCATGTTCATTTTATACTTGTATGAGTCCTGAGTTTACCTTTTTTTTAAAAAAACAGGCTCTTGGACTGGGGATTTAGCTCAGTGGCACAGCGCCTGCCTGGCAAGTGCAAGGTCGTGAGTTAGATTCCTGGTACCAGAAAAAAACAAAACAAAACAAAACAAAACCAAAAAAACCCAGGCTCT